TGGTACCAATAGGAAGCACACAATGCACCCAGAGAGCTCAGCAGGGGCAGTTAGTTGCCCATTTGGGAAGCCTAGGAATGAAAAGAGATTGAATGGAAAGAAAGGCAAGCCAGGGCTGCTTGGTACACAGACAGTGCCAAAGAAAAGCTAGCTCCCTTTAGCCTGTAGAACATTTGTGACTCACATGTACCATCTGTGAGAAGCAGCTTGCTTCATATAAAATCTCCTGGAGCAAATGGTTTGTAGAGCACTCGAAAGGCATTCTAGCTAATAGCATTTTCACAAAACATCTTTGTCTTTATCATTCTGCACTAGAGTTGATCTGAGATGACTTACCACTGCTGCATTCCCATAGCACAGAGAGCCATCTCCTTCATAGCCCTCTGGACAGACACAGCTCCAGACGCCAGGAGAAGTAAACTGACAGGTGGCCTGATAAAACAAAGATGGAAGAAATGGTTTGATTTCCTAACTAAAGAGTTAGATATGAGTTACATCCGTGGGACATCAGGTTCCATCTAAGGTGAGAATTGCAAATTTGGGGCTGAAAGATGCTAGAAATGACTCTTCAGTGTTGCAAGGAAAGACTCCTGTCTGCGTGTTTGGTGCAGCTCTTATTTAATCACAATGAAATCTTTTCTTTTCTTCCCTGCCAGATTTGGCAAGGGAACACGCAGGACACAGCTCATCTGAATTTCAGATAAATGAACACATTTTGATTTAAGTATGTCCCATGGACTACTTGGAGGCATGATTGTTCTGGAAAAGGATTCATTGTGGATCTGAAATTCAAATTTAACAGGGTGTCCTGCATTTTATGCGGCAATCATATGTTGGCGCTTTCAAGCTTTGCAATGGAGTGAAAGTTGCCATAACTACTCCCATCCTGCTTAGGGACTCCCTTTGGGAGTTAAGAGGGATTTTGTTCAGATAAGAAATATCCTAACTTTCTTTCTCAAGCACTTTTTTTTTAAAGTAAGGGTAAAAGAAATCAAGTAACTCACCAGTGGGTGACATTGCCCAGTTTGTTCTATGCATGAAGTTATTGGTTCGCAGTCTATCCCGTTGCCTCGAAATCCTTTCTTGCACTCACACTCATGCTACGTAGCCAAGAACAGAGTCACAGGGGATTATTAAAAATAATGACCTTCCATGCCTTGCCCTCATGTGGCACTGAAAAATGAACCAGGGGAACTGTATCTGTTCGGCCCTCCTTAAGAACAGCGTTCGTGCCTTTCGTTTGTTATACTTCAGATTCCAGAGCTGTTGGTCATCCACAGTCTACGTTACATTTCCCAATCTGATAGTTTCTTGGTACTTCCATTTTGAATTTATTATCTCAGAAGGGCCATATGTGGATTCTCAGGGAACTTAGATGCTAAAGAGCATCACATTGGAAAAACGGCCCCTCCATCCAAGAGGGAAAGGTTAAGTAGCTTTCTCTGCCTCAGTCTCCCTTAAATGAGGTGAAGTGAAAGTGATCAACAAACTGTAGAGTGCTACAGAAGTATAAGTGTGGACAAGGGGAGACTAAGAGGGCAGTTCAGGAGTCAGACTGCCTGGGTGTGAATCTCACACTATGATTTATTTTCTGTGTGAGGTGAGCAAAGTATTTAGCCTCTCTGTGCCTCAGTTTTCTCATTTATAAAGTGGAATAATAACAGTACCTGCATGGCAACAAAAGCAAAAAGAAACAAGTGGGACATCACACAAAAAAGCTTCTGCACAGTGAAGGAAACCATCAACAAAGTGAAAAGGCAATCTACTGAATGGGAGAAAATATTTGCAAACTATATACATGATAAAGGGTTCATATCCAAAATCTATAAATAACTCATACACGTTAATAGCAAAAATACAAACAATCTGACTAAAAAACGGACAGAGGATCTGAATAGACGCTTTTCCACAGAAGACATACAAATGACCAACAGGTATATGTAAAGATGCTCAACATCATTAATCATCAGGGAAATTCAATCTCAAAACCACAATGAGACATCCCCTCACACCTGTTAGAAAAGCTATCCTCAAAAAGACAATAAACAACAAGTGTTGGTGAGGATGTGAAGAAAAGGAAACCCTTGTGCACTGTTGGTCGGATTGCAAATTGGTGCAGCCACTATGGAAAACAGTATGGAGGTTCCTCAAAAAATTAAAAATGGAACTACCATATGATCCAGCAATTTCACTTCTGGGTATTTATCTGAAGAAAACAAAACACTAACTTGAAAAGATATTTACAGTCCCATGCTCATTGTAGTATTATTTACAATAGCCAAGACATGGAAACAACCTAAGTGTCCATCGACAGAGAACAGATAATGTCGCATATATCCGTACAATGGAATATTATTTAGCTATAAAAAAGAATGAAATCTTGCCATTTTCAACAACATGGATGGAACTTGAGGGCATTATGCTAAGTGAAATCAGATAAAGAAAGACAAATCCCATATGATCTCACTTATATGTGGAATAAAATAAATAATAAAACCCAAACCAAACTCATAGGTACAGAGAACAGATTTCTGGTTTTCAGAGGTGTGGGGTGGGGGTGGGTGAAGGAGGTCAAAAGGTGAAAAAAGATAGTACCTACATCATAAGTTTGTTGTGATAATGAACCTATTGTCACTGCTACAGATGATAAAAGAGCTTCAGTAAGTTATAGCCAAAGTACTTTTGAGTCTAGCAGGGGAAAAACAACATTGCAGGAGTTCTGCTTCCTTTTTGCTCTGCTATACCTGTTCACACCTACCTGCCCGGGGCCTACGTATAAACAGGTGGCATTGCCGTGGCAGCTGCCAGCGCTGGGCAGCAGACAGTTGTTGATCTCTGAGCAATCTCTTCCGTCCCCGGTCCATCCCCGCTGGCACAGGCAGGTGTGGGTCCCCGTGCCGGTTCTGATGCATTCTGCCTGTAGGAAGGAAAGAAGTAGCCCAATGCTAGAAACCTCAGTCCAGCTGCAGGATTCCACGAGCAAAAAGGGATCGTCCGAGGGACATTCTAGAAACACAGATTTGCATGGAGTTCGATGGTAAGGAGTAAAACACACATTTGCATGGAGATCAGTGGAAAAAGACGAGCTGGCTTAAAGAGCCAAGTTGTTTGGAGCTGGCCAGCTAACGGCCACTGCCCCTAAGATCGCTGTCATTTTCTTGAGCCAGGGGCTGTTCTTAATGTTTGGTAGGGGTAAGCCATCATCTCGAGGAAGGCACTGTTATTATCTCCATTTTGCCGACAAAGAAACTGAGGCTGAGAAGAGTTAAGGAAGTTGCCCAAGGTCACGCAGCCACAACGAGGCACAAGCCCAGGTCTATATGATGCTGAAGCCCAAGCTCCTAATCACTGTACCGACTCCAGGCCTCTTGGGAGGTGGAAGGAAGGGTGAGAGGGAGGGAGGTGCAAGTGAGGTTGTTGAGATGAGGCCCCGGCTAGTCTAAGGGGAGGCTGGTGAGCTGGGGCGACGCAGTGTGTCCAACTGCACGCTGAGCCAGGGGAAGTTGCTGAGGGGGTTTCAGCATGGGAGAAACATGATCTGATCCCCTTCAAGCCACTCCGTCTGTGGGTGGACAACGAATGTACTGCGGGAAGACCAGTTACTAAACTGTGGGTAAGGAATGAAGGTGAGTGGGGCCAGGTGGAGGCGGTGACATTCAGAAGGTGCTAGTGAAAGCAATGGTGGGTTTGGGCAATAATAGGTCTCAGGGCAGGTCACTTAATGTCCCCAAGCGTCCGTTTCCTAATCCGTAAAATGGAAATAACAAAATCTGCTCCATTGGGTTGGTGGGAGGAGCAAGTTAGATCACATAGATGAAAGTCACCTGTAAGCCATAGCATTTGAATCAAGAGTTTATGACTGATGATCTCAACGTCTGAGTCTCAGGCTGTGTTTTTGAGCCCAAAGCTCCCGCCCGCACATGTGCATTTAGGAAGTGGAGCCTCCCAGAAGGCACCTGGCACCGTCTCTAAAATGCAAGGTTCAAACAAATGTGCTTCATGCAGCGAAAAGCCATCAGACACTGACATTTGGGAGGCCTTCTCTCAGGATTTCCCTGGAACCCAGGCAGCCTGGAAACAAATGAAGAGCACACTCACATTGCGGCTGCAGCCGCCCGGGGTTAGTCCTGAGCAAGGGTCCACGTCTGAACAGAGGCTTCCATCTCCTTCATATCCTGCGTTGCAAACACAGCTGCCGGGAAGAGGAGTGCACAAAATCAGCCCCAGAAATACAGGCACCAAACACCCTGAAGAGGGCCAGCCAGCCTGACGTGAATGGTTCATGGCCAGAAAGACTGACAGTTTGCCTTTGTGTGGGGAGCCAGTGAACCAAGGAGGTCACAGGCTGGGGCCTGCAGTCACACAGACTCAGGTGGGACTCCAGGTCCCACCTCTCAGCAGTCATGTGACCCTGGGCAAGTCCCTTAACCTCTGGGAGACTTTGTTTCCTTATTTGGAAAATAGGTCTAATCATACCACCTCCCTTATAAGGATGTGGTAAAGATTAAATGAGCTAATACATATGGGTCATTTAGCAGGGCACTTGCACACATTTGCGCCATATAAGGCTTGACATCTGGCCGCTTTTCTGTTCATAGCAGGCTGGTATCTGCCCCTTTATAACTCTAGTTATCTCCAGTTCAGCAGAGAACAAGTCTACCTTTTGTTCTGTGCAACAGTCCTTAAAATACAAAATACGGTGGTCAGGTGAGACCTCCCCTCTCTCCCTAATGTCTCTCAGGTTCTTTTTTTTTTCCCCCCCCAATACAACGTTCTCCGGTGCCTCATTCCGTGAGCTGACACATTTTCCTGACTGACCCCTTATCCTCTCAGACACTTCTCTCAAAATGTTCTACCATGATACATATTAAATGAAGGGCCATTCAACCAATATTTATTCGAGTGCCCTATGATAAGTGCTGTGACACCTTGTAGCTCTATCATACCCCTACGTCACTGTTGTAAATTGTGTGCATCACAAAAATCTAAAAATAATGTTTTTCATGTATCAAGGCTCCTAGGGGACCTAAAAACTTAATTGCCCAAATGAAGACTTAGGTTGACTTGTTCCAACATGGTTTGACTGACCTAAGCTTATATAGTATATTCAGACCCATATCCATAGTCTTTGGTGGGTGATTTAAGCGGTTTTAAAGACAATTTTGATTACTTAGGGTTTTTGCTTTCTGCACTGATGTAGATCCTAACTAACTCCTTAGGAAAATGCATTTCTGTTGTAAACTGTGGAAGAGAGGAGGCAGTCTTTGGCTCCATGCTCCCCATCATCTAGTGGGGTGGGGGGGGATATAGGCTGTAAAGAGGTAAGCAAATAACTATGTAATTACACATTAAGAAAAGTGCTGTAAAAATAAGGCCAGGAATTTCAGACATTCTCTGCATTGCCCTCTGGATATTTTTTGAGTGGATACTGACTTTGAACCAGATACGCCTGGAGAGGAAATATTCTCTCCAAGCCCACTGAATGTGTTAGATGGTATTAAGGAAACACATAAAGATCCAATGACCAAAGACCCAATTTCCTGTAAGGGGCCTGTAACAGAGGAGTTATTATGAATGGCCGTAGGAAGTAAAGCATTTTTAAAGGATTGGAAAGTGGGTGGACACATCTTCATTTCCTTCACATCTGTGATGATGGTAATTACAGTTTCCATGACTGAACACTTATGATGCGGTAGTCCTGGTCCTGGGTGTTTTTACATTGAGTTTGTCTAATGTCCTCACCTGCCCTACTAGGTAAACAACATCACCCTTATTGTACTGATGGGAAAAATGAGTTTCAGAGAGGGTAAGTAATTTTCTCAAGGCCACACAGCTTTCAAAGGCCACAACTTTCAAAGGAGGGAGTGCTGCAGTTTGAACCCAGCTCAGTCTGAGGTTTTCTTCACAAAAACCACACTGGCAGTTGGAGAGAACAGGCCTTAGTATATGGGTTGGGTCTGTCTACAGGTAACACAGTGGCCACAGGCCATTAAGGCTGGTACCCCCTTTCCCCACAGGCATACCTCGCTGTCCCATTGCTGTATTCACAAGTGGCATGGATGTGACAAAACTGCATGAAGGGCCCACAGGCTGAGGTCTGCTTGTGGCAGAATCTCCCAGCAGAACCGTCTCTGCATGTGCCAGCGAGGCAGGCCCCATCACTGTCGATCCTGTTATCACACGTTCCGTAAATGCACAGACATTCTGAAAGAGAAGGAGGAGGGACATTCAGGGTTTGGGGAACAACAAGCTTAGCCTTGGGCACATGGGTCATGGAAGACAGGGGCCTCCTCCCCTCACCCCCCCACTCACTCCTGTCAGAGCAGAACCTGGGGCTGAGCAAGGGAAGGCTCTGGATGCTGCTTCTTAGGGTCTCAAGCGTTTCCCGGTGTATCCCGTCAAGGATGAGAAAAACTTGGTCTGAGGGCTGCTTTATATGTACGTGTGTGGGGTTGTGGTGGAGAGGGTGGGTTGTGATGGTGCGAAAGGAGCCAGAGAACTCCATTTTCATCTACTTCATAGCTGGAAACTTTAGTCTGGAAATTTCCCATCTTTTGACGAAGACATTCTGGAAAAATAGAAGTGATTGCTCATGTCGGCATGATCTCTGATGTGCGTCTTCATTCTCCACCACAGCAAACCATCAAGGCATTGGGCCAGTCTTTAACCTGGACCATCTCATTAATAGTCACCAGCCTCAGGAGTAGGCACTTTTTTTTTTAATTGGGGAATTGGGGGGATGGGAACAGTGCTGGGGAATTGGGGGAAGGGGAACAGACAAGTTGCTGTCGTTTTGTTCTTCAGTCTAGTTNTTGAGCCTGTGTGAAGATGCCTGGAGCCCCAGGCTGAGGATTTGGACTTCATCTTATTTTCTGTGGGAGGGAAGGAACATTGTGAAAGCAGGGTTTTAGGGTTTTAAGGTATTAGGAAGTGTGGCCGATGGACAGTGCAGAAAAAATATTGCATCTATGCTCCATGTCTGGGTGTCAGGAAACAGCTCCAAGGCCAGATGGGAGGAGTAGAAGGAACAGTGTGAAGGGAAGGGTGGGATGGAGCCTGCAGATAGTCCAAGGATCAGACACTGCAGCCAACCCAGGGGAACAGGGACTCGAGCCTGAGAGAGGCTCTTCGTTTGGGCAAAGGGCAGGTCCTGGGGTTTGTGAGACCAATGGCTTTAGCTGAGAGGAGGGCAGGAACCAAACTGCAGTGAGCTGAACAAAAAGGAAGTGATGAGAAAACCTGCTGATTTCCTTAATTTCTCATTTCAACAAATCTTTGTATACAGCGAGAGTGAAGTAGGCAACAGACATGCCCTCAAGTCCAGTGTGGGGAGGAGACAGACAAGCGCACAAGCAAGGACAATTCGGTGGGACGTGTTCTACCCCAATAGAATGCGCAACGCTGGTGGGTAAATGCTTGGGCTCTGCACTTACACAGCCACAGGCTGGATTCCTCACTCTGGAGCTGAGCAGCCTTAGGTAAGTTTGCTTAGCCTCTCAGTTTCCTCATCTATAAAATGGGCATAATAGTAGCAGCAACCTCAGGGATGGTTGGGAGGGTTAAATGGGTGTGCTGCCGCATGGTAAGGACTTAGTAAGATGCCAGGTATACTGAAGACACACACACACACACACACACACACACACACAGAGGTGTGTAAGCACAGGGTGCTTTGGTACCAATAGGAAGCACACAATGCACCCAGAGAGCTCAGCAGGGGCAGTTAGTTGCCCATTTGGGAAGCCTAGGAATGAAAAGAGATTGAATGGAAAGAAAGGCAAGCCAGGGCTGCTTGGTACACAGACAGTGCCAAAGAAAAGCTAGCTCCCTTTAGCCTGTAGAACATTTGTGACTCACATGTACCATCTGTGAGAAGCAGCTTGCTTCATATAAAATCTCCTGGAGCAAATGGTTTGTAGAGCACTCGAAAGGCATTCTAGCTAATAGCATTTTCACAAAACATCTTTGTCTTTATCATTCTGCACTAGAGTTGATCTGAGATGACTTACCACTGCTGCATTCCCATAGCACAGAGAGCCATCTCCTTCATAGCCCTCTGGACAGACACAGCTCCAGACGCCAGGAGAAGTAAACTGACAGGTGGCCTGATAAAACAAAGATGGAAGAAATGGTTTGATTTCCTAACTAAAGAGTTAGATATGAGTTACATCCGTGGGACATCAGGTTCCATCTAAGGTGAGAATTGCAAATTTGGGGCTGAAAGATGCTAGAAATGACTCTTCAGTGTTGCAAGGAAAGACTCCTGTCTGCGTGTTTGGTGCAGCTCTTATTTAATCACAATGAAATCTTTTCTTTTCTTCCCTGCCAGATTTGGCAAGGGAACACGCAGGACACAGCTCATCTGAATTTCAGATAAATGAACACATTTTGATTTAAGTATGTCCCATGGACTACTTGGAGGCATGATTGTTCTGGAAAAGGATTCATTGTGGATCTGAAATTCAAATTTAACAGGGTGTCCTGCATTTTATGCGGCAATCATATGTTGGCGCTTTCAAGCTTTGCAATGGAGTGAAAGTTGCCATAACTACTCCCATCCTGCTTAGGGACTCCCTTTGGGAGTTAAGAGGGATTTTGTTCAGATAAGAAATATCCTAACTTTCTTTCTCAAGCACTTTTTTTTTAAAGTAAGGGTAAAAGAAATCAAGTAACTCACCAGTGGGTGACATTGCCCAGTTTGTTCTATGCATGAAGTTATTGGTTCGCAGTCTATCCCGTTGCCTCGAAATCCTTTCTTGCACTCACACTCATGCTACGTAGCCAAGAACAGAGTCACAGGGGATTATTAAAAATAATGACCTTCCATGCCTTGCCCTCATGTGGCACTGAAAAATGAACCAGGGGAACTGTATCTGTTCGGCCCTCCTTAAGAACAGCGTTCGTGCCTTTCGTTTGTTATACTTCAGATTCCAGAGCTGTTGGTCATCCACAGTCTACGTTACATTTCCCAATCTGATAGTTTCTTGGTACTTCCATTTTGAATTTATTATCTCAGAAGGGCCATATGGGGATTCTCAGGGAACTTAGATGCTAAAGAGCATCACATTGGAAAAACGGCCCCTCCATCCAAGAGGGAAAGGTTAAGTAGCTTTCTCTGCCTCAGTCTCCCTTAAATGAGGTGAAGTGAAAGTGATCAACAAACTGTAGAGTGCTACAGAAGTATAAGTGTGGACAAGGGG